TGTCAGGATGGAGACAGGTGTGATGTGGCTGAAGGGCTGCGGGGCTCTCTGTTGAATTCTGGCTGATCGCTCCTGGCCTTTGAGGTTGTACAGTGGGGAAAATCCCCCTTGTAGCCACGGGGAATAGGGACATTTGAGGAAGAGAAATCTTCATTTGTCCAACCCTCATCCGAAAGGTGTAAATCTCCAGGTAAATAATGTATCATTATTTTGAAGGACCACTGTCAAGCATCGTCCTTACATTTGGCTTTTAAAATAGCATTGCTTGGAGAGCTTCATTTGCAGAGGGGTTGGAGTCCCTAGTGCCTGTGCAGAGCTCTGAGCTCCGTTGCCCCGGCACCTGTACGTGCAAATGCTGAGACATCCTCTCACTTTCAGGACAACCTCATTCTTTGGGGGCTAAGTTTTCCCCCTCACCTTTGTCTCCCTAACAAAGCTACACCCGTACCGGGTGAAGAAACAGGGCACCAGCTCTGCTCAAACAGCCATCTCCCAAACGGAGGGTGCCACCTCTCCCATGCTTTCTGGAGCTGGTAGCTTAGTGTTCCTATGTTGAATCTTCACAGGGACTTTTTCCCTGGAGTTCTCAGGTTCAGGATAGTCTGTGTTACCAGGGAACAGACTGAGGGTTGGACATAATTGTCCAGGGTTTGGAGGACCGAGACGAAGATAAATCTTTGGGGAGACATGGGAGAACCCCTCCTCCCCCATGCAGAGCAGAGGACTCTTCCGCCCTTGCTTGGTGATTCAGATGACCTCCCTCCTATGGAGACAGCCTGGTTCATAGGCATGCCTTTCCCCACCCTGTACTTTTGCATTTAGGCCAACTTGCTAACAGTGCTTCCGTGGTTTCCTTTCGGCCCTGAAGAAGACTGGGGATCTTTTTTAGCTTCACAGGTGTTGCTGAAGAAGGACAGTGTTTTCAGCAAAGCAAGGCAGGAGCAGCGGTAATGTGTGGCAGGGGTCTATGAGTGGTGGAAGTGCACGGAGGAGAGAGTGATGATTTCCCAGATATTTCTGCTACGTCTGGGCCCAGATGTCTCAGTTAGACACAGAGGGAGTTCAGTTTGCTGTAGCGCTGAAAATCAGGCCAGGCTCTCTCCTTCCCAGAGCCTCCCACTGCCCACGAACCAGTCCAGGTCTTTCTCCCAGATCCAGGCAACTGAAGGTTAGAGATCGCAGGCTCACCAGGGCCTGGTATCTCTGGCTCCGTGTGTTAGTGAGAGGAAAGCTGTTAAGGATACAAGTTCCCGAGAGAGATGCAATTGCTCTCCATGGAACCTTAGGGATTAGCAGCCTGGGAGAATTATAACATGCCTTAAACAATTATTCATATATCAAATCCATAATTTGCAGTGTCTAGGAGAGTTTTCAAGCGTAATTTGAACTGTGGAAAGTGCTTGTTTAAAGATGTTAAGCAGGAAAACAGACTGGGTTTTGCTTCCAGTACAGCATCCTACCAGCAGTGTCAAGTACTGGCCAGTGACTGTTGTCAAGTGTCACACAGTCTGTGCTGGTTCCAGGTTTGGATGGGCAGGAGCAGCTTCCTTCCAAAAGCGGCAGCCAGGCAGGCCAGTTGTAAGGAAATGGATGCAGCGTGACACCAATTGCAACGTGATGGCAATAGAAATGTGAGTTAATCCTTCCATGACATCACATTTTTGTCCCAGATTCTTGGAAGCTCCCCAAACACCTTCCTCACACTCCACCCCACTGAATGCGTTGCAATTAAAAAAAAAAAAAAGCTTCTTGAACATAAAGCCCAGGGAAGAGCTACCAGCTCTGAGATGCACCTCACCCCATCACCACCACCGAGCCTGGATATGCATAGGTTCATGCTTGTTCTGACGTGTCCTCATGGGTGACGGAGCAGGGCAGGTCTGAGAGCCAGCTAGTAATAAAAAGGGAAGAAGAGGGGTCAGTAGCACTGAGAACAGCCAGCGCTGGCCTACAGCTAGGGAGTGTCCATGGGAAGAAACCGTAGCTGGTTTTTCCTCTGGAGATCCAGCTGATATGAGGAGAGCTCCCATCTCCTCATCAGTGCAGCCACCAAGGCCTTGGGAGGAGACTGACAGGCCCCAGCCTTGACTGGTGTCAAACTTGTTGCATTTTTAAGGGTGGGTTTGGATCCGAAATAGACGCTGCAGTGGTGTCTGAACCTGCCTGCAACAGGAAGCTCTCCTGCAAGGGGAGTTCACAAACCAGTTTCGCTTGGCTTTATTTTTCATACATCCAGAGTTGGTTTCGTCAGACACTAAGTCACTGGGACACGCAAAGTACCACTTATGGTTTCACTGCGACAAAAAAGCCGTATCCAAGGTGCCCACCTTGTACCATTCGTCACTCCCCGCCTGAACTGTCAGGATAAGGGAAACGATATGGAGAAGGAAAAAATCCTTCCTTGTACTTCTACGTGATAAACTTCAGGTGGGAACAGCAGAAATCTCCGAATTGGGCTTTGTTGCCACAGAAGGAGCATGAGCATGTGACCGCAGTGTCAAGTCATGCATGGCTGAGAACGCATCATGGTGGTCTCCTTTGCCTGGAGGCCTACACTGTTGGAGGGCTGCATGCAGTACCGCCTTGGGCTGGAAGGCTGCTCTGGCAAATTATGAAAACACATTTCTTGGTGGCTGTTCCGTGCCCCTTTGCTTCTCCTAGCAGCACAAATCCACTGAAAAGGTCCTCAGGAGCCATGGAATATGTCAGTGAATGCATTTAATGACATCCCCCAGCACCTTTTTCACACGGCATTTGATTTGAGGATCTTTTTGCTGATTACAAAGAAGCTGGGGCTTAATGGAGCAGTGTGTTTTCTTCTGTTAAATATTGCCCTACATGTCATCTTCGATGTCAGAATAAGTCCTGGCATGACTGAGAAGGACTCGTGTACGGCCTCCAGGGTTTGCAGGGCTTAGTGTCACGCTTCTGCCTTAAGTACCGGACCCTGGAGGGGAATACACATCTAGGTTCAAAAATGGTCCTGCTTTTTGGTGGGCTGTCGCTCATGCAGATCACCTTCCCAACCTGGATAGCTTTTGGGACACCTTCCCGGAGCTGCCTTAGCAGGAGCACTCCTGCTTAACGACTGTGGCTTGAGGTGTAAGAAATGGGCCTCAGACACTGGCTAGCAGGCTGAGGGGAGGATGTGAAGGCCAGCAGACAGCGATGCCAGTGAGAACGTCCTATCTAAACAGATGGTGCTCCCATCTTGCATGTATACAGATGGTGCTCCCATCTTGCACGTATAGGTGCACCCCGGGCTCTAGACCGAGATGTAAAAACCTCCAGAAATCCCTGGGGGAGGGGAAGAAGCAGGCTTTACTGGTTCTCCCTTCCCTCCCAACTGGAAATATTAGAGCAGTTAACCTTCGGTGGTTGTCCCTGGCTCATCATAAGCTCCATCTGCTTTGAAGTGCTGCATTATAAACGCAGCTGGCACATAGAAAAAGCACAAGCGGTCAAGCAGCTATACTTAAAAACCAAACGTAAGAAAAGCTAGATTTCCCCACCATGACAAACAGAGTGGATGTGAGAGGGGGAAGCTCTCCTGCATGCTGAGGCACTGCATTTTTTGCAAGATGACCTAGCTGTGAGTCAAGCAGTGGGGTCAGCGGAGCAGCACAAGCCCTGCTGAGTTTTGCTGCTCCGGGAACGAGCCCTGGGCATCAGGTTAGGAGCAAAGAAGCCAGAAGCAAAGCCCCGGCTGCAAAACTGCGCGCTCCGCCCGGCAGCCTGCCCTGCCTCTCGTTACGGCTGGGTGGCAGACGAACGGCGCGCC